TACATGCAACCTAATAATCTATTTATAGTAACTACAGTAGTGACATATAAATTCAGTTCTTTTTTTTTTTATTTTATCCTATTTTCAACTATTTATAGTCTTTAGATCTGATTGGTTGACTACAGGTCACATGAGATCATAATAATGGTTTATTCCATGGTAAAAGGCACATGCTACTTTTGACATCACATAAATTTTTGTTCCATTAGCCAATTTTTTTTTGCATTTGTTGTAGTTTTACACTGTAGTTCGTAAACTTCAGCACTGTGAGAGGTAAAAATGTGTAGGTTGGTCACACGCCATCTTTGACATTTTGACCTTCTAAGCAAAGTAGTCTATAAAACATGTTCCTGCTATTAAAAAGATAAAAATATAGATATTTAAATAAATGATGTACTGTAGAACAAATAATGAATGTTTCTCATTCATAGATTGTAATGTATCAAAATATTTTTATAAAATAAAGTCTTCAACGTACACTTTGAAAAATTAACTTTAATTTATATAGTTTTCATAGTAAACAGCAGCATTGTTGGATGAAATTAAGAGCATAATGGCAAATTAAACAATAACAATCAAACATTATATTGAATGGTTACCATGGATACAAGTTATTATAGTAAAGTGGATTAGTTTGACAGGCTTGTTTATATTTTGGTTTAAATAAACAATATACTGTAATAGGATTGTTCAATTACAGTACAGATAGAAATTATCGCTTCGTATCTGCGCGTAACCTCTAGTAATCTGCTCGTAGGTACATTCTGAACGTAGCTACGAACCACTACGAAGGTCATTGTTATTTTAATTAGCTTTGCAATGATTGTAGGCTGGATTGTCGGGCTGATGAATAATGCGGAAAACAATATTGAAATATAGTTTACCAGCTTTCAACATGAGCAATGTTGCAATTTACTAAAACCATGTTAGAACTTTATTGTTTTGTTATTTCCTACCTTATTATTAGTTCGCTAGCTAGGTAACCTAGTGGGCCTTCAGTATGTTCGAATTTTGATGTCATTTAGGCCTACGGCCTACATTTTCCCCCATAGAGGAGAAGAGCCGACAGTAATTATACTGGTTAACTTTCCAATTCGGAGAATTTTGATCTGATATTATTGTTCTGGTAGTAGGAATTTTCTTCTTTTAAATAACAATACTGATGACAAATCATGTACAAATTATTACGATTTCTACATAAAGATCACGTTTATTTTTTACCGTAATTTGAGCGAACCGTTTACCGTAAAAAAAGCGAACTAATACTAATGGAACTACAGAAATCACTACCTTGCCAAATTAAGGCTAGTCATACTAGACCCATTTTCTTCATGTTTTACTCACTGTCGCTCACAGCTTTTTAACATTGCCATAAGGTTAACCTTTAACACACTTTTCTATGTTCTGATTGGCGCGCACTCTGTCCGATGCTGGATTTTCGGGGTTGACAAGATGAACTGGCATTTCGCCAAGTTTTATATTCCATTGGGTTTTCCATTTGACATTCGGTAATTTTACAACCAACGGACATTAACTCTCCTTTATATTTATCTTACTAAATCAAGACTACAAAATATTATTTGATGAACAATCTTTTCACATTTGTGCATTGTCATTGAGGACATCATTTTTTGACAGTTAAAAGAGGTAAAATAATTGTAAATGAAAAATAGGCTAGACCTAGGATAGGCCAATTAATTAAAAAAATAATACAGCATTCCAAACAAGTTCCTGTCGTGGACAGCGAGTGGAAGAGGAGACTCCCATGAAGTCAAGTGTACATTTTTCTTATTGAAAAACAGCTCCATACTAATTAACGGTCTGAACTTGTGCTTGTCATTCACAAATTATCAAGCAACACGTTGTTTATTCCAGCAGTCTTTCTGCATACAAATAAACAACATGCTTTTACTTGGTAGGTTTGCTTCTCGTAGCCTTGTTTAGATTGTTTATATCAGGCTACAATGTATCTACAAAGCCTACGCGCAGGTAAAATTGCAATAGTTTGTGGCGGTACTGTAAGATCACATTAGATGCAAATAAATTGTTCAAAATTATCATACAGTCAACTCTCCCAATACCGAAGACCCTTCGGACTGTCCACTTTGAGCGGTTTTCCGGACGGACCGGTTTAGAGGACGTCATGTTTACCTACCTTGGTACCCCAACCTTGAGTCGATAATAAGCCTAGGCCTAGCAAGGTACAGCAGATAGGTACACCACACTGCATCATGTACTGTGTAGGCCTACTGACCTGAGAATGTCATTTAAAATTCATGTTTTACTTTATTTTTACATTATTTTATGTTGTACTGTTTTACATACCTATCTTTTTTGTGTCAAAGTCTATTATCAGTAAAAATTTACACAAATCAACTTCATGTGTATCGTAATTTATAATAAGTGTCAGTGTTATTTTTTGTTCGATCGTCATAATCTGCTTCGCTTCAACGTGGTTGCACGCTTGATTGGCTTTTGATGCCGCTGCTGGCATAACCTTGGTGGGTCACTGAAGGCTAAAAATAAGTGCTAACTTATGCAGCGCCCCCTAAACTGCGTCAGCCAATAGAAAACAGTCAGAGGTGACAGTCAAAGTGTCGTGCGCAATTGTTTTTATGAAATCGATAGCCTTATGTTGGGACCGCTTGGTTTAACTTAGCGTGAGAATGAATGCAAAATGTGAGAAAAGGATACATTCCTTAATAAAGAAAACACACTCATGAACTTTTTTTTATCAGTTTATTAAACAAATGAAATCTAGGCTTATTGCAATTAATTAATTAATGCGCTATCGGTGTGTCACACGATCAACACTAACGATCGTAAACGTGGTGTTGTTCTGTGATTGATAGCTGTTATTTGGAGTCAGTCGATGTGTCTCCGATGATTTATTTAACATATTTCGTCAATAAATCATCTTTTTAAACTGGCCGTCCGGTTTTCAGAAGGTAATTTTATTGTTCCTGACTTAAGAATTTGGCCGGAATTCGGAATTGGGAGATCCGGTTTTCAGAAAGCATTTTAATACAGTAAGAATAGGAATGATTTTTTGCGTGAAATCCGGTTTTCTGGGTGGTCGGTATTGGGAGAGTTGACTGTATATATTTATTGTTGAAAAGGGTGTTTGAGTGGCATATATTCGAGGGAGATGTGTATTTTTTTGGTGTATAATGAATATGTATACTCAAATAAACGCCCCCTAATTTGACTGTTAATGTGGAATTAAAACACATAAATACCAAAATGTGTTATTGTGTATCATTCATAAGATGTATTGACCCTAACCAGGTTTAGAATAAATGTAATTTTACTGGAGTAAAACATTAATGGAATGTGTTGAGAATGATTACTTCCATTAGTTCTGTTTACAGTCATTTAGAGGAGGGTGTTTATTCAAGGAAAAAATAAACGCCCGGGGCGTCTATTTGAGGAAGGTGTTTATTCCTAGTACGCTCTAGAGGAATGCATTTATTTGAGGGGTCACTTATTCGAATCGGGGCGTTTATTCGAATAAATACAGTAGATACTACTGTAACTCTTTCAACTAAGATTTTCCATTGATCACTCCATCTTTTTTTTTACAGCAAATTCACCAGGAGCCACAATCTTTTATAATTATTAGTTTATCATCCTACCTACAGTGGCTTGAAAACTGAAGGGAGAGAGAGGATTTTCTTTATATTTTCCTATAGCCAAAATATCACAATTGGGTTGTTTGCTGGTGCACTGATATTTTTAAAGGAAAAAAAAATAATTTAAAAAGTTTTTTTAAGTGTGGGCAGGGATGATAAACAATCCTAATCCATTGAATTGTATATTGTTTTTGTACAGTAATTGTAAACACTTTATTAGAAATGGCATCACTACAAATGCATTTACTCCATGTGCATGAATTAAATGTCATTAATCATAACCAAAATTAAATAATACCATTGCAACTATTAAAACACAAATATAAAGTTATCATTATTCAGTGATTTTATATTTGTACTTCCTGCAGCCAAATGTACAGAGCAAACACATAGTAGAATTGTACATGCAAAGTGTTTGTACTGTACATATTAAATATCTAAACAGATTCAAATAATATTCAGGCTGTACAACTGTCTTTTAATTTGAATTCATCCATAATTCTTGTGAAAATATAATTGCTTTGATGTTTTTTCACCTATAAGTGGGAACAAACTGTTCCAGTTTGACGATTGAAATAAATCAAACAAATAAATGAAAATAATTCTTAATTTCTACCAACATCTTGCACATCCTTAACTATTAACAGTTATTATTGTAATCTCAGGGATATTAAAAAAAAAATATTATGCTTGTGTTCAAAATTTTAAATGAAGTTAATCCATATTAATTTGTTACGTATTACGAACGTAAATTTAAAGAAATTGTAATAAAACATTCTAATATCAGTAATTCTATTGGTAAACATCACATTGAGTGGAGAGTTTTTTGGAATGGGCTTACCGGTCCACCCAATAATATTAAAATACTACAAGTAACAGGCCTGCAGTTAGTGCTCTGACCTAATGGTTAGTGCGAATCTAAACTATACGACGTGGATCCACAGAAAACATTACCTAATTTTAACAGTAAAACATCATTGGATAAAATTTACATTGACAGATTTAATGGGTATTTAAAGACAATGAAATTATGTGTCAATCAAGTTTAACTACCTTATAAAGACTAGCTGTGCATGTGAAATGATACTGTACAACCTCTAATAAATTATACTTTCTATTTTTTGCTGCCTCCTTTTAATTATGAAAGAAAAACCCACACATGAACGTTAAAATGTCAATAAGTTTAAATTTATATTTTTTCAAATAATTTAGAATTGAAAAAGGGAAGCATATTTCATAATATTTCTCAATAGGTGGACTTAAGATAAGTAGGCTTACAGTGTATATCAACATTATTACTTATGACAATACCAAAAATGATGATATTAATGCTTAAAATTAAACATTAATGTTGGATGCGATGCTTACCATTCCTACTAATGTCCAATTCAAGAAGGTTCATAAAGTTTCCAATTTCTGGAGGTAATCTTTCCAATTCATTGTCACTCAATCCTATCTTTCGTAAATTCAACAACCTAAAAAATTGCTGTAAGAGAAGAAATATCATTAATATAAAATGAAACTACTGCAGAATAAATGAAGTTAAATATGTGGGCAATTCCACGGTAACGCATACTACATTTGTGCGCATTAATTTACACTCCTCAAGGTCTAGCTCTTAAATTCAATTTATCAGAATTATAATTTTTTTGTGTTTTTATATTTTAACATCCAAGGCTGATACAACATGGTATTACAAAAATATAAATGGTATTACTCATGCTATACAGTAAAATATATACTGTATATCTCTCGGTAACTCATGCTACACATACATATTATTCAGTGCACACTCTCGCATTGAAAAGATACATGAAGGGAGATATTCATGAATATATGTTTGTTACTTCTGAAAGACCATATTCCATAGATAAAAAATATCCAAATTGGTAAAATTATTAAAAATATATAGGCCTACTACTAAAGAATAAAATTGATTTTACTGAAAGAAAGCAATATTATTTATTTTATACACCCAAAGAAAGTTTATAACCTGATCAGTGCAGATCCAGAGATGCCCGATGAGGGAAAGATATATTTCCAATACAGATCTTACTTTATAGGGCATACGGCGCTAATGCACTTTCGCACCTAACTTTGAATTCTTAATTTTTTTACCTGAATTTTTTTTCTCACAGTCACAACACATAATTATAAAACATTTTTACATGACTGAACCACTCATAAAGTACATTTTTTCAACAAAAAGATACCTTTATAAATATAGGTTGATACAGGGTTTCCGCGCTTGCTAGCACGACGAGCTGTACTGTTTTGCAATCAAGTAAGAAATTGCCAGAATGTCCGAGTCAATTCTTAAATTTTGAAACTATTAAAGGCCAGTCTTATAATTTTAATTGGAATTTTCCCATGAAACATCCGACATCAAAATGTGGCATCATGCAGTACCATCTTTTTGAACCTTCTTGTCGTAATCGAGGTTAATCGAACCGTCATTGGCTTTAATAGTTGTTTTTCTGGATTTAGGCCTAGGCCCTATTTTTTTTATCTGTGTACGCATTTGGATCATTACTAATTTTTGAAGTAATTATTGTACGTGTGAATTTCATGTGAACAGACGGTCAAACAACAGCACCATACAATATAAAGAATGACATACAATACGGCAAATAGATAAGTTTTCATAAACGTTTGATCAAAAAACTTCACGCTGCAAACTCAGACATTCTGGCAATTTCTTACTGATTGCAAAATGGCAGCTGCTCGTCGTGCTAGCAAACACAGATTCCCTGTACTTATTTGTGGGCTTATTTGTTGAAAAAGGTACTTTGTGAGTGGTTAAATCATGTGAACATGTTTGTTAATTATATGTTGTGACTGTGAAAAGAACATTGAGGAAAAAACTTTAAGAATTAAAAGTTCTGGCAATTTCTTAATGATTGCAAAATGGCAGCCAATCGTCGTGCTAGCGAACACAGATTCGCTGTACTTATTTGTTGAAAAAGTTACTTTGTGAGTGGTTAAATCAGGTGAAAATGTTTGTTAATTATATGTTGTGACTGTGAGAAGAACACTGAGGTAAAAAAATTAAGAATTAAAAGTTAGGTGCGAAAGTGCATTAGCGCCAATGCCACTTTACAGTCCGAGACAGGCCTACGCTAGCCCTCCTAATAGTTAAAAAAATGCAATCATGGATGGGTCTAGTCTAAGGCCCTAGGCCTAGCTAATAAGAGAGGGACTTCCTAGCCTAGACAGTCCTAGAAAAGGTAGCTAGGCTTAGACCTAGGCGATCCCGACTAGGCCCAGGACCTAGCTAGTCTTAGGTCTAGGCAGGCTAGGCCTAGCATAGGCGTAGGCCTAGGACCTAGCTAGGTCCAGGCTAGGCCTAGGCCTAGAGTAAAAAAACCCAAAACAAACAGTGCTTTCCGTCATTAAAAAGAACAGTTTCGTTACAATGGGACATTAACAATGTATACCCCATGGTAACTGCACATCTACCTTACCTTTGGGAGATCCCTAATCTGATTTGCATCGAGTAATAATTCCTCCAAAGTTCGTCCATAGCGAAATATATCATCGGGGACCGCAGTCAGGCTGCAGTGGCGCTTGTCAATGTATTCGACATGACGATTGCACGCCCTGAAAAGTGGTATACAACGAAACATGGTACTAAACTAACTGAATAAGAATATAAATCCTTGATATGCCAACATGGGCTATATCCAGTTATTAAAACAACGGTATTCACCACAAAAAAGGATTAGTTTAGCAAATATAATGCCGACACAAACTATGATCACTTCTGCAACCCAAACAACATGTCCGCCCAAATGACGTCACACCGGGAGTCTGTTTATAACCACCGTAGAGGGCTTTAAACTTTTGCTGTGTTTTATTTTGTACTCACCCACACCGACGACCGACGCTCCAAAGTTTATTGTTTTTATTGTGACGAATATGAATGGTTGTGCATTCAATTGTGCACAATGGTTCAATCGAATAAGGTTAAGACTTTTCCTTCGTTTTCGCTTGTGCCAATCTCAGGAGAATGCTCTCCTCCCTGACCTTCTTACACGTCCACCACATTCTTTCATTTAAATAATATTAAATTGGATCCTAAATTGGCATTCGGGGAGAGTCCCCCCACACCACCGTCGGGGAGAAAAAAAACCAAGCCTCAATAAGAGACTTGGTATGTAAATCATTGTTGAATGTGAAGGAAATAAAAAATAAATATATTGCCACTCACAGGGGCGGATCCAGAAGTTTTGGTTAGGC